AAAAAAAATTAATAATTTTTTCATTTCTTAATATTAAATTAAGATATTAGAAAAATTAAAAAGAAGAGATATAAAGAGAAAGCTCTCTGGAGTTCTCAAAAAATTTTAAGAATGTAATGGGGTTCTGAGACCAAAAAGTTTGAAAAATGCTACAAAAGAGAAAGACAATAAAGGCAAAAATGAGGCCTGGGGTGGTGGCTCAGTGATAAAGTTCTTGCCTAGCATGGTGAGGCACTGGGTTCTATCTTCAGCACCACATAAAAATAAATAAAGATATTGTATCTATCTATAACTAAAAAAAATTCAAAAAGAAAAGCAGCCTCAAAAAAAGCCCAAAATGATTCTTCAAAAGACTAAAATAGCTGGGCACAATGGCCCAAATCTACAATCCTAGCAACCTGGGAAATAAGCAGGATCACAAGTTCAAGTCCAGCCTAGGCAACTCAGCAAGACTCTTTCTCAAAGTAAAAACATAAAAAGGACTGGGAAAGTAGCTCAGTGGTTATGCACCCTTGGCTTCAATCACTAGTACCAAAAAGAAAAGAAAAAAGAATATATATGTACGGGTATATATAAGCTATCCTATAATCAATCATTAAAGAAATAAGTAAACAGAAGTATTCTCACAAAGAAAACTCTAGAATGATGTGGCTTTTCTAAAATAATATAATCATCATTTAAAAAATAAATGGCAGTCATATTTTGCACATTCTTCCGGTAAAAAAAAAAGTGGGAAAATTCTCCAGCTCATTTTATGACACCACATAATCTCAAATAAAAAAAAAGACAACAGCATTATAAGAAAGGAAAATTTACACTCATGAACGAAGATGCAAAAATCCTGATCAAAATTTAATAAACTAAGTGCAGCAAAATTTTTGCGTGTGTGTTTGTGTGTCTTCATACATGTACTTATTAGGGAAATGATGTCCATCTCATTCCATGGTCTTTCCTACTCCCATACCCCCTCCCTTCTTCTCCCTCCCCTTTGCCCTATCTAAAGTTCATCTATTCCTCCCATGCTCCCCACCCCATCCCCATTATGAATCAGCATCCTTATATCAGAGAAAACTTCAGCATTTGGTTTTTTGGGGATTAGCTTACTTCACTTAGCATTATATTCTCCAACTCCATCCATTTACCTGCAAACACCATGATTTTATTCTCTATTAATGCAGAGTAATATTCCATTGTGAATATATACCACATTTTCTTTATCCATTCATTTACTGAAGGGCATCTAGGTTCGTTCCACAATCTAGCTATTGTGAATTCTGCTAGTGCAGCAATTTTTTTAAAATTGTGACCAAGTATGTCAATTATAAGAATGAGAGACTAAAAATTTAAATTTCAATCAGTGTAATTTATCACATTAACAGTTTAAAGAAGAAAAAGCTTTTGATCATTTCATTAAATGCAATAAAATTATTTGATAAAGTTTTAAATCCATTCAAGGTATCAATTCTTACTTGGCCCGCCAGAAACAGAGGGAACTTCTTTATTCTGATAATAAGTATCTATACAATACTACAGCAAACATCATACTTATTTTTTTCATATTTCATTCTATCTTTCTTTTTTCTTAATTTTTTATTTATTTATGACAGCAGAATGCATTACAATTCTTATTACACATATAGAGCACAATTTTTCATATCTTTGGTTGTATACAAAGTACATTCACAGCAATTCGTGTCTTCATACATGTACTTTAGATAATAATATCCATCACAAAGAGAGGTGGAAGGGGAAGGGAAGGGGCTTGGAGTTAGAAATGATGGTGGAATGTGATGAACATTGTTAAACATCATAATTATAATAGTCAAACAGTGAAAACTTTCCCTTTGAGATCAGGAACAAGACAAGGATGTTCTCTAGTACCACTTCTATTCAGGAATGTACTGGAGATCCTAGCCAGAGAAGTAAGGCAAGAGAAAGAAATAAAAGGTGTAAGGATTGGCAAAAAATTGTTTTTTTTCTATTCACAAATGATATGATTGTGAATATAGAAAACAAAGTTATCTACAGAAAAACTGTTAGAAATAAAAATGAACAAGATTGTGAGATTCCAAATCAATTGCATTTCCATGTAAATAGCAACTGTAGTTAGAAAATAAAACTTAAAAATCAAGAACTCCAAAAATATAAAATACCTAGCAATAAGTCCAAGAAGAGATATTCAAAGCCTGAAAGAAAATCATAAAACTTCCTTGACAGACTTGAAAGAAGTAAATAAATGAAAATATGTGCAATACTATTTCATGATTTGGAAAATGTAATTTTATAAAGATAAATTCTTCACAAATTAATTTAAAGTCAAGGTGATATCAATGAAAATCCCAATATAAGTATGTATGTATGTATGTAACATGACATGATGATACTTAAGGATATATAGAAATGCAAATGACTAACAGCCAAGACACTTATTTTTTGAGAAAAAGAAAAAAAGAGTACGAACTCGTTTAATAAACATCAAATGTGACAAGATAATGTAGAATTTATGAAAACAGACCAATGGAACAGAACAGACATCAGACACAGAACAACAAATGTACAGACACTTGATATATGCCAGAAGTGGCATCACAAAACAGAGAAAAAATGTTTTAGTTTTCCACTAAATAATACTGGGACAAAGAGCTACTCATATGGAAACAAATGAAAATAAACTTATTCCTCCTCCTAATCACAAAACTAAATTTTACTTGGTTGATAATGAAGTTTATGACAAAAGTCACACAAAGAACTATTTCAAGTTCAAAACAAAATTAATTGATTAAATAACACAATAAGATCTATCTTATGGACAAATATCTTACTGTTACTAGTAATCTTGGTATCATTATATTTAAAATATTCCTTATATAAAGGAGTACAAAGCAAATAAGGAACTATAGTAATGTCATTAAGGAACATAGATTTTAGATTAAAAGATAGAAATACATAAACTCAAAACTAAATAAAAATCCCTTCCTAAAGTAGAACTATCACTAAGATCTCAATATTTGATTAATAAAGAGTGCTCTCCAAGCATTCAAATTTTGATCTCTAAATACCAGTTGTCATTAGAAAAATAAAAAAACTTCTTGAAAACACTGTTGATTACAGGCCTAAGACATAAAATCACTCTGATCTCTCAAATCACAAAGTCAAAGAAGCTATAAAATAATACCAGAGTCACATCAGAAGCACATAGGAGCCAAATGAAGAGGCTTCCACTGATCAAAGAAAGATAATTTGAGTATCATAACGAATAACTACACTGGGCATGGTAGCACATCCCTAGTAACTCTAAAGGCAGAAGCAAAAGGAGTACAACTTTGAGGCTAGCCTTATCTAAAAATAAAAAATAAAAAGGACTGTGGATGTAACTCAGTGAGAAAACACCCCTGGGTTCAATCTCTAGCACCAAAAGAAAAATTAAAAAATAAAAACAATGATTGCAATGAATTTAAATATTAAAAATATAAAAATTGAAGCTGAATACAGTATTGTTCACCTATAGTACCAGCATGCAGGAGGATAAGGCATGAGGATCACTTGAGCTCAGGAGTTCAAGACCAGCCTGGACAAAATAACCTAATAAAAACACTTGAGGATGGCAGCACATGCCTGTAAACCCAGCAACTCTGGGAGGCTGAGGCACTCAAGTTCAAGGTCAGCCTGGGTAACTTAGGGAGACCCTATCTCAAAATAAAAAATAAAAAGGAATAGGCATATAGCTCAGTGGTAAAGCACCTTGGGTTAAATAAACCCAGTACAATCGATCAATTTTTTTTTTAATTCTCAAATTAAAATCTGTAAATTCAAATAAATGTAAAAACAAAACCACTGGTCACACTGGCAGGTTGTAAGGACCAACTGGTTATTCTGAAAACTCATAAAGGGATAGCATCGAGCCTTTATCCTGACTCTCCTAATGTTTTTTTTTTTTTTTTAATTTCAGTATAACCAAGAATTCAGTAAAAGGAAGTTTTTATTTTACTAACTTTAAGAGAATTATAAAATAGAAATCTGCCATTCTGTGATCCCAAAATGAAATATAGGACCCTCAATAAACATAAATGACTACTAAAACAATTAGGTGAAAGGTAGATAGTAAGCTTCAAAATGGACTGATCAGATTGGCATTACCAATTCTCACTGACCAATTTTAACATTGCTAAAAATATCATCAAACATGTTCTTCCTGATATGATACCCTAAGAAGTACATAGTACCTACCACCAATAAATACTCTCAACCAAAAACCAAACTTATCTATAATTAAGCCTCTCTACCCAATTATCAATTTACATGAAATAAGAGATTGAGGAAACATGGACAATGATCAGGAGGATACAATCCAGAATGTGATAAAATTTATATGGTAGATGACTCAATTTCTCTAATAAATGCAAATCTAAAAAGACAAACTGATATACATTGAAAGAAACTTAATACATATAACAACCAATGCAATCCACAGACCTTGTTTATATTCTGAAGCAACTGAACTTTAAAACTTTTAGACATTATGAGATAACTGATGGAAAAATGCAGCAAACAGATTGGTTATCACAAGATGTTAAGAAATTATAGTTAATTTTATTGGGTAGGATAATGGTCTTATCTACCAGAAATGTACACTGAAACATTTATTAGTGAAATTATAGGATGTCTGGTATTTATGTGAAATAAATATTCCAGATACATTAGCAAATTACTTGTGTAATTAAAATTAAAAAGATAAATACATAGGTAGGTGGGCAAATATGTGGGTGCATGGGTGAGTAGATATAACTTTCTGAGGATAAGAAGTGATTCTAGATAGATTAATTCAAATTAAATGAGAGCAAAATAATAAAGCTTTTAGATAATATTGTGTACTTTCAAGTTCTCAAAGTAATTCAAGGTTTACTAAACAAAACTCAAAAATCACTAAACAAAAATGTGTTATACCGTAACTATAAAGACTATAAAGACTATCTACTTCACACTATTTTAAAGGTACTTACTGCTGGTAAAAGAGACTGCATATTTTGATTAGAATCTGCTATTGTAGCAAGGTATACCAAGTTTGTATGCAACATCTGCTGATACCTATTAAAACAAAACAAATATCAGTATTAAAAAAACTATTCCTATATGCTTAAATATAAACATTCCAATCATTTCTATAGAAGATTTGTTAGCTTAACATCAATAACACTTCAATTTTTCCTACTTCCTCTGCAAAATAATTCCAAGTAATAATATATTTTGCCGCAGTCTGGCTGGGCACAAATAACCGAGCCGCCACAAAGCCTTGTAGATTCAAACAGCAATTCTTTATTCCCCAACTCTCACCGGCACTGCACACACCACAGAGCCGCCACAAAGCCTTGTAGATTCAAACAGCAA